AACTGGAAATAAGATAGAATACAGGCTGGAGTACTTCCTCTCGTCTACAGTTGCTGCATGTGGTACAAATTACAAACAGAGATTGGCTGGATACCTCATGAATAATTAATGAATATGAGAATGATATTCCAATGTATATAATCCGAATATGCTAAGTGATTGCAAATAACAATGACGCAAATAACTTTGCATTAATATATTTTTTTCTGTAGAGAAACAGGTTATATATGCTGCTTCGTATTCCGTTAAATCATAGAAATTCGTTTCCATGGTAACGACAACACTGCAAAAATTTCACTTGACGGTATGTCTCCACAATAACTATCATAAAGCATGCAGTTTATAACATAAAAGTGCTGTGCTCAGTCCAGCCAGTAATTGAGTTCTTRTKGGAACCAAGTAATATTTCCATGCTAGAGGCAGAAATCCACAGATTGCAAGTGAAATGTATTTGTAAAAACCACGAAATTATGTTGTATTCAATCAGAGATGTCTGTGGTTTATATGTCCAAATTATTTGAAAATTAACGGAAATATWTTGAAAATATGTGCGATTTTAATAAAAAAATGCAATAGCATCTTCAAGAGTCATATATCCATAGCAACGGTTGCTATGACAACTTCAAACCTATCAAAACCATAGTGAAATAAAATGTTGTTTTACAAGAGACATTTTGTAAGAGTTTGAGTTGATTTCACCGGTTTTTCAGGTTGWTATGCTCATTCATTCAATATGGTTCTATATGGGGCATTATTTTAGGGGTACGTAATGTCACTTACAAAACAGGCCCAAACACAATGAAGGCCCACCGATACTTTAGTACATCGTGTCTAAAAATGATCTACAAGGACCCTATTTTTGATTTATGGTATCAGACCAAATATGTGAGGGGTGTGCTACGTCACGATTTTTTCAGGGTCCTGGCTCCCGGACTACAAKGGTAATGAAGGAGTTTGAAGACACAAACATGATTGTACAGTCTTTTTAGTTATGAAACCAGGGACTGTAATCCTTACCTCACTTAAGTATGTGATAATGCTACATAACGAACCATTGACACCATGTTTAGTGTATCTAGGGTCTGTATTCCAATGTTCCTGAAGCCACTGAAACCAATCAATTTAATATTGTTATTTAGCCTGCATAGCAGAGGGAAAAAACAAGAGCCTGCAGCTGCGMGAATGGGTCACTAAATTAATATGTAACCATGTACTCAAATTCCATTTAACTTATCATTTCCTCACATTTTCCTGAGAAGAATTCTAAGAGAACTGCTATACAATATAATTCTGAGGAATCCTAGTATTTCTAGCAAAATTATGAACTGACAACATGAATTTTCCATCTTGATTTTAGCAGGTCATGAAAACAAATGAGCCAACTTTACAYGATTTAGTGTTGATGATGTCTAATGTCCAAAGCCATCATTTCCAYTTCTAGATGCACATGACAGTGTACTTACCTTTACTTTTTTAGAACATTCAGGGTAATCAGGATTTTCTGGAATTATACATTCTTGATTATTTCCTGGAATAGCCAAAACAATGGTATGTTAGGTACATTCATCACATTAACCCTTACACTCCCAAAMGTCCCCATGTATGGTGTTACATACATGTACTTGTTGTCCAACATTCTTAGTTCAGCAATAATTGCRCGGAACACAGTAACGATTCTAGGATGTCCCTAACAGAACACATGGTACATACGATCAGCGGTTCAAGTCCATACTATGTCGAGAGTTGATTCAAGGATTTCCGTAACAGAACAAGCCATCGGTTGTACGAGTTTGGCTTGTGTTTGAATTGCATTATTTTTTAATACTTTTTAGATGTCAAGGTCATATTTATTTATTCATGGAAGTATTCATCAAGGTCATGAATGTTTTAATGATGTTTTAAGGGGAAGACAGTGTTCTTTTATGTGTTCATAGTTTCGCAATTGCAGATTGGAATTCGCGAAACAGGTAATTTGAAAAAAAAAMCTATACTGCCTGAAGAATTTTGCGTTACGTGACAAGTTGCATCACACCACTGCGATGCTGATGTGACCTAAGTASTGTATAAAGAACGAAAAAGTGTGTTTTATCGGGTGATAAAGATCCGAGCCGAAGGCGATTGAACGAATTTTGATCCCACCCCAGCTTGTGTATGCTATAGTGCATGTCTGCACATTGATTCAAACTGATTTAAAACCTAGCAAAGGTCTATGATGCGACATTAAAACTGAGACTTTTGCTAGTGTCGGGTTGCAATAAAGCGTTGATGACCTTCAGAACATCAGTTCTTTATATCTGATATAGAACTGATTAATAAAACATCAGTTCTATATATCTGATATAGAACTGATTTAATAAAACATCAGTGCTTTATCGGGATATAAAGGCCCATCATGTGACCCAATAGTTCGATGCTCATTGGACTAATAGCTCATGAATTATTAATGAGTTCTAGAACATCTGTTAGAGTATACTTTGTGAAAATGAAACAGCTACTCGCAGTACTCACTTTCTATTAGAAATGACTAGTATAATCAACATCAATTAGATCACAAGGTAAAGGGAACTAAAGTTGATAGTCCATGAGTACTTACTATTAACTCGTAGTTCACGAGACCATCATTAGTATCCATAAAACTATAATTTGAATTTCAAAAATGACCATTGCAACCAAAAGCTCAGGACATATTCACAGGAATATAAAAATTACAAATTTTTTATTTTTATTTTTTTATTTCAAATGTTTTTTAATGCTTCACAACGTTTAATGCAGTTAATGCATTTGAAACAATTACTATACCTCTGGTTTTATTGTTGTTTGCATAATGTTGAGAATTGTTTAATGACTGTATCTTCTTTTCCAAATTTTCAAAGTCTAATGTGCTGTTTATAATCACACTTTCAACTTGTCTTTCCAAAGTGTCAATTCTTTTCATCATATTGTCCAGCAACAATGCAGTATATGTTGTTTTAACATCTGACAATTCTACAAAAAATACAGTGATATTTATCATCTATGTATATTAAAGTTATTTTACATATATATATATAGTGAATTATTTTTAATATCCTTAATTTTTTTTCATGCTTATTATTGATTAAGTTATTAAAAGTTATTTTACATATATATAGTGAATTATTTTTAATAGACCCCTTGCATGTGACGTCAAAGAAGCTTCATCTGGAGGACAAAACAAAAGTTTTTTGCCCTCTTGGGAACTAGAATCTATTGTTTTGTCCTCCAGTTGGAGTTGCATTCCCACGAACTGCAAGGGGTCTATATCCTTAATTTTTTTTCATGCTCATTATTGATTAAGTTATTAAAATTCCACTACAATCAGGGATAGCTTCATTACTTAAGTATAGAAAACAATAGAATAATACAATCAATTTAAACATATAGATTTAAGGCGAAGGAATTTTGAAAAAATGACAAACTCATGCTTTTTTTTAAAGCTCKCTTTTCACTTTGCAGCATCATGAATGGTAGGAACAAATCTCATGATAGGTATAGAAAACAATAGACACACAATACAATGATTCTCTTCCACAACAATAAAACAAAAACCTAATTYATAAATTAGAAGCTTTAGGCACTGAGAGAGAAAACAAATTAGCAGATGTCAAGGATAATGAGTAACTTTCCTCAATAATTATTATGCTCACTAACTCCCACTAATAAAATACATAMGAGAGTATATATCTTTTATTAGTATAGACATATTAATGGTCTATCACTCATACTGCGCTATGATTGGCTACTCTACTAATGGTCTAATTTGTGATAGACCACTTGCGGACTCGGCCTCATGGGCTATTAGCTCGTAGTCCACTCGACCTCGAGGTCTAATTGTTAATTATAATCTATATTACTTGTTTTGATCCATGATTTATTCCAAGCTATCAGACCTAAAAGTATCTATTCTAGAGTGACAGGTATGAAACAAGATA